TGTAGCTGGTCTACATCTGTATTCATAATTTTAGGTCTAGATTTTTGATGGTTTTTTTTAAAATTGAAATGAAATGTTTTTAATTGGAATAAATTTTTCTTAGTTAAATTAACTCTTTCTAAGCTCAATTGAGTGCTTTTTAAATCGACAGGAATTGTAAATAGTGTTTTGAATGAATAGTTTTTTTTCTTTTCTTTTTTTCAAGCGAATTGATTGTAAATAGGATTTTAATAGTTAGCATTGTTGTCATATATTTAGTTTTTAATTTGCAAACAACACGATATAATTTAAAATTGTAAAATATTACTTATTGTTCTGATACTTAAATAAAGTTGTTGTTATTATCATTATCATCATCATTATTATTATCATTATTATTATCGTTATCGTTATCATTATCATTATCATCATCAACATTATTATCAATATTATTATCGTTATCGTTATCGTTATCATTATCATCATCATTATTATTATCATTATTATCATTATCATTATTGGTTTCTTAAAGGAGGAAATAAAAGAAGCGGGGGGTCCCCTACAAGTTTGCGCTGGTCATAATGCAGGAGCGAAGGCTGCGATCCATGCAATGAGTCAAGTGTTTGTTGAAGAAGGAACAGATGGAATATTGCTAATTGATACTAGTAACGCTTTTAACCAAATGAATAGGTCAGCAGCCTTACACAATATCCAGATCATGTGCAAAGAAATGGCGCTCTATTTTATTAACACATATAGAAGCCCATCTAGACTGTTTATTTGTGGGGTAGGTGAAACACTTTCTCGAGAAGGCACCACACAAGGAGATCCGTTAGCGATGCCATGGTACGCACTTAATACATACATAATGATACAGAATTTGAGGGATCATTGCCCATTGGTTAAACAGGTGTGGCTTGCAGACGACTCAGCTGGAGGAGGGAGTATAGTGCAGTTATACAACTGGTACAGGCAATTGAGTAAGGAAGGTCAAAAGTTTGGTTACCTTGTGAATGGGACAAAGAGCTGGCTTATTGTGAAGTCTAGGGAACTCGCGGAGGAAGCAAAGAGGGTGTTTGGAGAGGAAGTCAACATAACGACTTAAGGTCAGCGCCATCTGGGAGCAGTTACTGCGTCGCAAGAATACAAAGATCAGTATTGTGAGGAGAAGGTTCGTGCATGGAAAGAGGAAATCGAACGTCTCTCTGAAATAGCGAAGAGCCAGCCCCATGCGGCGTATATTGCTTTCACAAAAGGCTACAAGTCGAAGTTCACCTACTTCATGCGCACGATTGAATCGTTTGAAGTTTATGTCGATCCAATCCAGGAAGTGATTGAAGATTTACTACTCCCAACTTTGTTCGGTCAATCAGAGCCTCTCCCTAACCAGTTACGCAGACTTGCTACCTTAGCAACGGGTCAAGGGGGTCTAGGCATTCCTGATCTGAATCCGAGGCACCGCAGCAGTTTGCTGCCTCGAGACTAATAACCACCGCGCACGTAGATTCTATTACTTCACAGAGTTCCATTATGGTGCCAGGAGAAAGATCTACGGAGGAGCTAAAGAGGCATCAACAATCACTTAAGAGAGCAAGTGCCAAAGAGAAAATGGATAGCATTGATTCAAGCCTCTCCCCAGGCCTGCTGCGTCTGGTTGATCAATCGAGGGACAAGGGCGTAAGTTCTTGGCTGAATGCGATGCCTCTCGCAGACAAAGGTTTAGCCCTCAACAAGCAAGAGTTCAGCGACTCGCTACGCTTGCGTTATGACTTGCCCTTAGTCGATTTACCAAGTCATTGCATATGTGGGGATAAATTCACCGTTAGTCACGCCCTCTCTTGTAAAAAAGGGGGTTTGTAGTGCAGAGACATGACGGTGTACGGAACTTGTTAACGACATTCATCGACAAGATCTGCAATAATGTCGAAATCGAACCACGCCTTCAACCCCTGGACAACGAGCGATTTCATTTGAGGAGCGCTGTTACAAGTTCTGAGGCAAGGTTGGACATCAAAGCGGGAGGTTTCTTGGCAAGAGGAGTTACGGCATTTTTTTGATGTTAGAGTTACGCACGTCAACTCCAAGTGTTACCAGAGCAAGCCAACATCGGAAGTGTTTAAAGAGCAAGAAGAAGAGAGGAAGCGCAAGTACCAGCAGCGGGTACGTGTTAGATGTAGAAATGGGTTCGTCTACGCCTTTAGTGTTTGGAACCAATGGCGGAATGGGAAACGAGTGTCAGCGGTTCTTAAAGCATCTCGCAGACAAGATAGCTCAGAAAGACACCGAGCCTTATCATGTTGTAATCGCTTGGCTCAGGACACAGATCTCGTTTGAACTCTTAAGATCGGTACATGCATGCGTCAGAGGTTCGCGAACGCCGTTTCGTAGCAAGATAGAGCAATCATTAGACTGTAAAATAAATGTCGCTAGTGCGGATATCTGAAATACGTGTCTATATGCTTTTATACTTAGGGCTTTTTATGGACACTGGTTTAGCCGTCATTAGTATAATTCGATCGTATGATCTTAATATCTCTGTATAATGGAATTCTTAATTTTATAGAATTTTGAACTTTTGTTATTAATTATATCTATTTCCTCTTCTTTTATGTAAGGTTGAGTTACTTCTATTTTTTAGAATTTGTAAATGAATAGTTTCTTTCTTCACTTATTATATATAGGATTGTTTTTGTTCTCTAATGAAGGCCGAGGGGTTTCTTTTGTAACGGATGGAATTGTAGATGGTGTTTTGATGAATTAATTAGATTTTTTGTAACAGCAGGTTGATTGTAAATAGGATTTTAATTGAGGTTTTGTAATAAAGATTTTAATTATTATTATCGTTTTCGTTATCATTATCATTATCATCATCATTATTATCATTATTATTATCGTTATCCTTATCCTTATCGTTATCATCATCATTATTATTATCATTATTATTATTATAATTATTATTATCGTTATTGTTATCATTATCATTATCATCATCATTATTATTATCATTATTATTATCGTTATCATTATCATCATCATTATTATTATCATTATTGTTATCGTTATTGTTGTCATTATCATCATCAACATTATTATTATCATTATTATTATCGTTATCGTTATCATTATCATCAACATTATTATTATCATTATTATTATCGTTATCATTATCATCATCATTATTATTATCATTATTGTTATCGTTATTGTTGTCATTATCATCATTATCATTATTATTATCATTATTATTATCGTTATCATTATCATCATCATTATTATTATCATTATTGTTATCGTTATTGTTGTCATTATCATCATCAACATTATTATTATCATTATTATTATCGTTATCGTTATCATTATCATCAACATTATTATTATCATTATTATTATCGTTATCATTATCATCATCATTATTATTATCATTATTGTTATCGTTATTGTTGTCATTATCATCATCAACATTATTATTATCATTATTATTATCGTTATCGTTATCATTATCATCAACATTATTATTATCATTATTATTATCGTTATCATTATCATCATCATTATTATTATCATTATTGTTATCGTTATTGTTGTCATTATCATCATTATCATTATTATCGTTATCATTATCGTTATCGTTATCATTATCATCATCATCATCATTATTATTATTGTTATCCTTATCCTTATCGTGATCGCCATCATTATTATTATCATTATTATTATCGTCATTATCGTTATCGTTATCATGATCATTAAGGAGGTAACAGAGACGTAAAGTATTTTAGCTTATCACGATGATGCAGTGCTGGATCCAGACCTTGAGATAAGGGGGGCGGGGGAGGGGGGGGTCATCCAATCGCAACTTTTCAAACAGGCCCTTCGGAACCACCACCGCGGTGGCGCGAAAACATCACTTTACCTCGACCTCTCGCACACTAATTATTACTACAATATTTATCCTGTCTCGTCCATCAATTGAAAACTAGCTAGGGGAGTTACGAAAAATCGTTGTCTTAGGTATACTCCCTCCCCTACTGTTTGGAACGTTCACGCCATGGTTGTGCTATGACGGCAGAGAAATCCACCGGAAAAAGTGCGATGCATGGGCCGAGTTCTTGTTTTGCTTGTTTTAAACTAAGTTAATTACTTTACTGCTTAAAATTGTGGATGTTCTCGATGCCCTCGTATATAGTCTCTGATATAATCGGGGCCGTCTATGCTTACTATCCAACGGATAATTTACTATCCAGCGGATAAGTATTAGCGAAACCAATTGTGCTATTCAGTGGATAGAGATTTATCCGACGGATAGCGGTGTCCACCTTTTTAACAACTGGGACCAGGGATTAATTTTTTAAAAACTTTTACAAGTGCAATTTACGAGTGTAGCTATTGTTTTCAGACTCTAAAACAACTTTTCATGTGATGTGCGGGGTGATCTTTTTCTAAAGGACAACATCTTGCTGAGGAGTGTTAGGGCCAGTTTACATGAAGGTAAGGGACCACAGGTAGGCGCGGTAACCCGCTTGGGCGGGGTAACAACCCCAGGTAACCCTCCCAGCTGGGGTCAAACGTTTTAACGTGGGGTAACCCGCCTAGCCGGGGACGGATTCCTTTTTACGTTAAATTCGACTAATTCAAACCACAAAAAAAGCTACAGCTAGCACTAATAGGGTGTAGCTAGAGCAGAAAGTGAAAGAAGAAGAGTCATGTCGCTTGCTCGCCATTCAGTTTTCAGTGTGAACGTGTTTAGCGGCCATTCTATGATCTTACGAAAGCTAACTGAACGCCGGGTTGGCCGGGTGTAAGATTGCTTGTCAACGCGTTTTTTTCTCACCCCACCCAAGTGGGTTACTTCACCTACCTGGGGTCCCCCACCTTTGTGTAAACAGGCCCTAAATGTTAGAATTTGCTATTCACAACTAATGAATAGATGAATAAATAATGACCGCGTGATATTTGATACAGCATGCCATTTATTCAACCTAGCACCATTGTCTCGTTTTAACAGATAATGATGATACTGACTTTGAGAATGGCCGCCTTGGGATGTGGAGCAATTCTAAAAGTGACAATTGGAAGTCTCATCGGTCCTACACACAAACTATTGATACAGCACCTAGTGCTGATCATACCACTGGACAAGGTTAGTATTTTTGCATTGCCTCTATTAGGCGCATATAAGCGAGAAAATATGTGCAAATTAAACAAAAAGGGCCTCTAGCCTCGACGGATGACACCCTCTTCGATCTGCTTTACAGAGAGAAGAAGTCGTTACGTCACGTTGCCATGGTAGCAAAAATTTTGGATGGCAACAAACCGAAAAAGTCACTTAAAAGTCTATTCGCACTATTTTAAACTTCACCGATCTTATTCAATTTCATTTAATTTGTTTAATCTTTGCGAAATTTTCTTTCGGGCTGTATCTATCGTTATCTAGGTTATCAAAAAAGAAATCGACAATTTTTGTATGTGTTCACCTACTCCATAAAGCGAGCTCTTGAAATCAGGAAGTTGCATGTCGTAGTGATGCACCTGCAGAAATAGTGCTACCATGGTAACGTGACGTCACACTTCTCCTCTCTAATCTTCAGAGCATACTCACCCTCCTTCAATAACTGCTAAACAAATTTTTGAAAGGGATATAACACAGATAAGTCAATGTATAATAAAACCAACATGTCCCCCAACGTCATTAAAAAGAGAGAAGACAGATGGTTGTTTATGAGGGCGCCATTTTCGGCAACCTACTCATGAACGGTTAAGGAAGTAAGATTTTGGTAGTCATTGCAATAATCTTTTACAGTCTGTACTCGTGAACATCGTGCATTATGCGCATTTATACTAAGGTCCTTTCCACACGAATCCTGACATTTTCGAAACCGCATTTCAGTTAACCGGATTCGTGTGGCCGATTTTTTATTCGTGTAAAAAAGTGATTTCAAAGGTATTCGGGGTCTAACAGAGTGGGAAGAGGTGATAGGAAAACGCGCGGGGTCACGCGTACTGTTTTTAAATTCTTTGCTGTTGTTGTTGTTTTGTTTGTTTTTTGCTTTCGTTTTTTGAATACCAATTAATTGGCGCCTCTGCCTACGAGAGTGGCATCTTTAATTTCGGATTTAATTTTTATGGAACGCTATCCAACAAGCAACAAGATGTTCTGAGCAGATGTATCTTGGTGCTTCCAACAGTGTTGGATGAATTTGGATTACAATTACATCAACAATTAAACAGGACGTTTGGATTATGTTATATAAACAGGAAGATCGGTATAAGATGTGGGAACCTGCACACCTTCCCGTCCCCTTTTCCAAAATATGGCCTGAATAAGTAATTAACGTTAGCGTTAGTTTAGTAGAGGGGTATCGATGCGAAATTTCTCAGTTTTTTTAATTATACCGATGCAAACAGGAAACTACTTTTACGTGGAATCATCAGGAACAACACGCGGCCAAAGAGCTGAGTTCGTGACTCCGTGTCTGTCGGGTCGGCCTAGTGGTCGGTGCTTGAAGTTTTACTACTTCATGTATGGCAAAAGAATGGGAAGCATGGCCGTCAAATTAACGTTATCCGACGGAAGAAACTGGTACATTTTTTACAAGAAAGGAGATCAAGACCAATATTGGAAAAAAGGAATAGGGAACATAGATCCTGCGATGGGTTTAAGGGGTAGGTATATACCGGAAATTCTTAGGCCTGGTTCAGACGCCGAACTTTTCATGAGCCGAACCTAATTCGAATTAAGGCCGACCCAAATTATTTAGACCAGCTGAACTGATTCAGACGCCGATCTTAATTCCAGCCGAACTAAATTAAAAAGGAGAAAAATGCTCATTTCGGTCAAACTAATTACAAAATACGATATA